TCGTTTTCTTTACTCTGAGTAATAATTGGTGAAAGCACAGCCATCAAAAGCGAAAAATGGGAAATACGAGATTTTGGTTGGCTTATATTTCCACAGTTTGGAGATTTTTTGAAGCGGGATTTCTGAGATGGACAAAGAAGGAGTAATGCTTTGTCCTGAATGCAAAAACGGATAGCTAATTCACCTTCGAAACAAAGTTAATCATGTTGGAAAATGACCATTTCACTCAGGTAGCCTAGTATCTTGAATCTTCAGAATTCGCTCAAACTTTGTCTACAGGGGATAATTGACATGCTCATTATGGATATGTTGCCCATTTTTGACAGGGCCTTCAGGTAATGCTATCTTAGGTATATAATTCAGGGGAGGGGGGTCTTATTGGGACAGCAATCAGGGGGGGGGGGGTGTAACCAGCGATCGTGTGCCACACCCCTTGCTTGACCCTGACAATCATAGTAAGCCTGAATTCGAGGTTCTAACGTCATTCAACCACTAGCAGTCAGTTAACATGTTACAAACACGATCAGTGCACCAACTTGTGTTCCCGCAATTTCCAACTTGTCAAAACATGATCTTTATACACAAAAAGTTCAACGATCAGTTTGTTTACAACGGTTAAGCAATATTGAGCCACCAATTGGTCTATAGCTTCGCGACGATAAGGAAAAGAAAAGTATGAAAAATTATGAAAAAATTATGGAATGAAGGAAGTTGTGCTTTTTCTATTTTGAGTTGCTCCCGTGCAATCTGGGAGCACCCTGAGGTTGCGCGGGACCAGACAAAGCCATAATTTACCCACTTACATAATTTTTCAAAATTTCTACATAAATCTATAGCGTAGCTTTGCTCCATAACGCCACGTCGCCCATTGTAATCATTTGTAGATATATCTACTTCTTTCCACTATTTATTCGAGTCAATTCATTACTTGAATATGAAACGAAAATGACTAAGTGCTATCGCAATTCAGAGAAGTTGTGCGAACCTGAAATGAGAATGCACGTAATACTTGTTTATCTCAGAGATTTTCGCAGAACATAGTATTTCGTACTTCAGGATTAGTGCTGCTAAGAAGGATGTTACTTCCGTCACATAGGGAAAATATTTTTAGGTCCGTATGCACGTACATCCCCGCGGGGAGGGGAGGGGATCTGAGAGGGGAAGCGTCATATTTTGCTACTCTGTATATTTTTCTTCTTCCTTCTTTACCTGTAATAAAGGTTCTCATACCCTGATATCTAGGCATAATAGATGCCAGGTTACTGCCATACAAGATTAGATTTTTACAACTTTGTGTGATCCCCTGGGGATCCCCAGGGGTCACCTCTCATTTTCGAAGTCATTTATCTTTCTGAAAACTCCATGAAAATGCCGTAAAGTTGTAAAGGATATACTACGGCACTGCTAAGCATGTATTTGGCAGAAGAAATGGAATCTGAAGATTATAATTTTTTTCGATAATCCCTGGCTCGCGAGCAGCGGTTCGTCGAAATTTTCAAATCCTGAGATTTCTCTTATTTCTACTATAGACATGTTTGCAACCATATTATACCTTCAGCACAAATTTAGAACATTTTCATTGAATTTGTAGGAAGATAAATGACTTTGAAATTGAGAGGTGATCCCCTGGGGATCCCCAGGGGATCATACAAAGTTGTAAAAATCTAATCATGTATGGCAATAACCTGGCATCCATTATGCGCAGGTATAGGGTATGAGAACCTTCATATCAGAGATAAAGAAGGAAGACGAAAGATGTACAGAGTAACGAAATATGACGCTTCCCCTCTGAGATCCGCTCCCCTCCCCGCGGGGATGTACGTGCATACGGGCTTTAGTGAGATTGCTTTAGGGGATGCTTCTGTTGCTGTTGCGTAGCATTAGGAGATTACTTTTCTGTGAACGTATTCTAGATGAATTTTTTGTGATTTGCTCTATCATAACTGGACTCTTTCATTTCCAAGAGATTTACCTGATTGCCAATCATTGAAAAACCATAAGTTTCCCTTTTTTAGACTGAGGATTTTCACATGAGGATTTATGTGGCATACAAATTCTTACTCTTCGTGACTCAAGAATCAGCAGAGATCTTCGATAAAACGTTTCAGTTGCTCTCTATAATAATCAGGGTCAAGCAAGGGGTGTGGACGATCGCTGGTTAACCCCCCCCCCCTGTTTGCTGTCTTGATAAGACCCCCCCCCCCCTTGAACTATATACCTAAGATAGCATTACTTGAAGGCCCTGTCAAACATAATGGACAACATATCCATAATTAGCGTGTCAATTAACCCCTGTAGACAAAGTTCGAGCCAATTCTGAACTTAAGTGAAATGGTCATTTTCAACATGATTAGCTTTGTTTTGAAGGTGAATTAGCTATCCGTTTTTGCACTCAGGACAAAGCACTACGCAGCAGTGTGGCACAACCCCCTAAAAGCTGTGGCGGCTACAGCTTTTAAGGGGGTGTGCCACATCCCATTAACTATATAGAAAAAAACATTTTTAGCAAACCGTATTTATATGGATCGATAGCCTAGATCTCCTAGTTTTCACAGGAGTGGTTTGAGCCTGATTCGTCCTCTTAGCACTGAATAATATTTGGTGAAAGCGCAGCCATCAATAACAAAAAATGGGAAAAATGTGATTTTGGTTGGCTTCTAATTCCACAGTGTGGTGGTCTTTTAAAGCGGGATTTCTGAGGTGGACGAAGAAGTAGCGCTTTGTCTTGAGTGCAAAAACGGATACTTAATTCACCTCTGAAACAAAGTTAACATGTTGGAATATAACCATTTCACGTAGGTAGCCAAGTATCTTGTGTCTTCAGAATTCGCTCCAACTTTGTCTATAGGGGTTAATTGACATGCTTATTACAGATATGATACGAATATAAGATTATGACTATTATCAGATCACCCAACTACGACCCCTCCTCTTTTGACTCCTCAATACGACACCCCAGGTGTGGCGTGCCACACCTCACGCTTGACCGTGATAATAACTTGAGAAACTAATTTCGAACGTCCTTTGACATGCACAGAGCAGCTTTGTAATTCCTCTCTCACCAGTTTTGGCTGCTTTTCGATCCGTTAATAAAGTGCGCCGATTCCTTGTGCCATCACAATCTATGGAAATCATTCGTATATTAAGCAGTATTCGGCTAGGAAGAATTAGGGCGATTATATTTGAATCATGGTTGCATACATATCCAAAGAATTTGAATTGTCATCTATCTATCTATCTTTCACAGGGTTCCTTCATACCACACACCGCCTGAACGGCAGCCTGCCGCAGTCTGCGGCGCACACCGCTGCAGGCGCAGTGAAAATAAAAAACACGAAAATCTAGATGCAGAATGGGAATTGAAGTCATTGACAGAAATAAGTAAAGCGAAATAGATTTGGTGAAATTGAGAAGGCGCCCAAAATTTGAGTGAAAACCATCAAACCTATGATGAGACATGCAAAAGAAAAGGAAGACTGCAAACTCTAAATAAATACTCTCGAATGCGAAGTACACGGGAGATAAAGAAGAACACCGCGAAGCTGCGGTGGCGTGAGTATATTTTTGATGCTTCTGCTGCAGCGTAGTATGAAGAAACCTTTGAAAAGAGCTCCCTCCAGGTTATGAGTTATCTCAAAGGCAGTGTCTCGGCAGAATTTCGTTTTCCAGTTTTTCACCTTTTTGAAGCTTTCTCGTTATAAGGAACCCATATGTGGGCTTCTAAGCGCATGAAAATGGCGAAAATGAGCTTTCTCCGAAGCTTTCCAGGTCCGCAATCAGTAATACGTGAGCGTGAGTGGGCAGGGCCCGGAACGAGGAAGGCGGGGCGCATAAGACCTCCGGCGTACCTTCACTGAATGCGGCCTTGAAAAGCCTCAGAAAAAGCTCATTTTCACCACATTCATGCGCTGAAAAGCCCAGATATGAATTCCCCATGGCGAGAAGGCTTCGAAAAGCTGAGAAACTGGAAAACGAAATTCTGCCGAGACATTGCCTTTGAATCCATTCTTTTGATATTTCCATTATTTGTCTTCTAATTTTCTAGTCAGAAAATAAATACTGCATCAACGTGTTTTCTGATTGCAGGTTCAGGGATAGGAGATTAGACGTATCCGAGACACAGAGTTTAGTTCAGGGGGGGGGGGAGGAAGGGGATGAATCATTGGAGGTTGTCTGTGATGCTTCTAGGTATCGAGTGGAGTGAGTCCTGCATATTCTGTTAGCTTGCAGCCGTTCGGCTTACGAAACGAAATATCCTTGTGACAGACTAATTTCTTTGAGAAAAACCCTCCCTTGAAATTTTTTGCCACCAAAAACCAAACGCAGTTATGCTAAAAAGAAGGCGAGCATTGAATTTGCATAAGGCTTGCAGAGCTCTGTTTATTCGTCTTCGACAAGGGAAGCGTGTATAGTCGAAGTGGCCTTTTCAGATGAGGCCCATACTGCTTTGGAGAGTATTGCACAGTGATTTCAAATCTGCCTTCATTATCTGCCAAGCGCCTCAGAACGCCGAGTTATGGGCGTTTTTCGGGTCAAAAAGTTGAACGCAAAACTGGAGCAAGATCACCCAAATTTGCTTAAATGCTCCTGTGTCAAGTATTAGAGCGGTTCATGCAATGGATACATTTTGTCTAATATGCTAATACTTGACATTGCTTTATTGAGTGCTAGAAGAATTGTGGCATTTGTTTTTACCCAAAATTTTTATCCATTTGTCGTTTCCGACATAACTCGGCCTATAGAGGCGCTTGGCAGATAGTGAAGGCAAATTTGGAGTCATCGTGCAATGTAGGGGTAATGTGGTATGAGTCTCATTCAAAAACGCCAACTAAACACGCTTCCCTTGTTAGTTCATTTTTGGCATTCCTCTGCATGTAGAATTGTTTTGAAAGAATTCTAGGTGTCTTTGAATTGTTCAATGGAGGAACTCAATGATCCCGATCTTAGTGGTTGCTGCAATGAAATCATTTAGATAAATGCTTTCAAAGTATTGTTTGCAGATGATGAATTTCTTCAGTCAGCGTAAAAATGGCGGAGGTGAGCTGTCACGCTCAGTTTCTGCATCAAGTAAATCAGGGTCTAGATCGCCGGACAGTTTGGTAAGTATGGCTGCATCTTTTTTACTGACATATGTTTAATATGCTTAGGATCGACATCGTGTACCGAAAGGAGGCGAGGTGCCGAAATCGGAGGAAATGGAGACTGGAGGAGAAGGAGAAGGCAAAGCGTGTGTTTTTTTTTGTGATGTGAAGCAGCAAAAGAGTGCAGAGAAATTTTTTTTGCAGACATGGGCCTACAACTCGCAACCGATGGAAGGTCTATGTTAACCAGTGCGAAGAGAAAAAGAAAAGAGTTGGTGTTTCATGCTATATACATCTGATAATAAGGATGTAATTTTTAGATATTCTGCAAGAGTAGAGTAGTTCTTCTAGGGATCTCCGATGCCTGGCAGTCCTCGTTGGAACGACGCTGATACGGATTATGTACCACCTGGCATGAAAAAGTCACGCAAATCACATCATGGGAGTGGTTTGCATCAAAAAGGCGATAGTTCCAGAAAATCTGCGGTTCGTTCTAGGGTACGCCCATCTGTTTTTGTGTTATTTACGTTCATATCTATGATTGCAAGTAGGGTTAATGCGTGACTTGTTATTTCAAGTGGCTATGTTAATCTTAGCTATAGGTGAGTCATCGCACGCAAAGACTGGACTTTACTTCCAAAGACCGAGTTTAAAGGGCACAGTGAAAGGGATGAGGTCATAGGTGCGATAGGAGGACGGGTCACACCCAAGTGAAGGGGTTTTTCGGCTATTCCAACCATGAAATGTGAAAGTGATAACTGACCTGAAGTGATCGCAGCCGTAAGATTACATGTCGAGGGGGAATAATCGTGAAAAGGAGGAGAATAAGTGGTATAGGGGTATAATATGGAGAATCCTTGAATGCTTGGCTTTGGATAGTCATCGAAAAGAGACTTTTTCGATGCAAAAGCTTTATGTCTTATCAGTCAATGGACGTATAGAAACGAGACCGTCTTTTTTCAGCTCTCCTGAGGAGTCACATACTAGAAATTTTATCCAGCTGCAACATCAGCTGATTCTATGCGATCACTTTGCGCTCCGTTTCTGAAGGAAGAGGAAGGCTAAAAAAAACCATTTGCGTTATTGGCACTCTTGCTGTGTATAGTCGTCCTCATCCTACTAGTCGCTAGGTGGACAAATTCGAATGAATTAGCGCGCCGGTTGCGGTAGAACGCGGCACTTCCTGGCCGCAGTTCAAGCCTACGCATGTTTTCTTCCTGTTTTTTCGTCGCTGCTTTGTGTTTCAACATTTTTCGTGATTATAACTGATGACTATTTTGTTATGAGGATCTTATACTGCTGTGCTTGTCTCTTTGACAGGGCCCGGCGCGAGTCGGTTTCTAGGGTTTCTGAAAACGAAGTCTCCCCTGACTTTCGGAAGTTTTACGAAGTCCCCTTTGACCTACCTGCTAAAGAGAAGATGAAAACAAGAAAAATTTACTACTGAGAGAAAAGATATAAGATAAGAGTGAAAATCAAATTGAAGCTGAAATCTACGCATGCACAAGACTTTGGCGTTAGAGCGCGATATTTAACAAAGCGAGAAGAAGGCAAAAAACAAAGGAAAGGCAATAATATGAAAATGTCTTCATGCTCAGGGAGAGATTTATGAGCGGGGAATCCGTGCATGCTGAAAAGATCCGAAACTTATATGAAGTGACGAAAATATATGCTCCAGACGATCTCAGATCGTCTGGTGACCGTCTGGAGACGATCTATTTTTGGAAAAGGTATTACTTCACATAAGTTTTCAAATCTTTTACATAATGCTTTCGCAAATAATTTTTTATACATACAGTTCAATTTTGGTGTCATATGCTTCTGTGCGCGCTGTAAACAAGCAATTTGTTTATTTAAGCCTTGCTTTCAAATCGCGCGCACTTTTCGCCGTGCACGGTAGAGCATGTCAATCTTGTGATAACCTGTCCGAAAAGCTTGTGTTCGACTAAATGGCGCTTATTCTTGGTGCTCAGTTCCGACTCGTCAGAAACGATATCCCCTTTGTTGTTTGCTGTAAAAACGAAGTCCAGCCTGCTTCAAGACGATCTGTGCCGGGCCCTGCTCTTTGACTCTAATTTCAGGTACATAGTCATGAAGAAACGTTGAATGATGAAAATGTTTCCTCGTAAGTCCTCTTTGGAAAATAACATGCGCTAAAGGGTTTTTTTTTTCAGTGAAATCAATGTCGCAGATTCCCAATCTGCATCATTTCTTATTAACTGAAATTAGAAAAGAGAGCACAGCAGTATGAAACATCGCTTAGCAACAACGAAGTTGCCCATTCTGCCTCAGACATAGCTAAAACACAAAAAATAGCATGTATAGTCGTCCTCCCCCACTAGACACCCAGTGGACGAAATCGAGTTTGAACTAGAGCACGCCGGCTGCGGCAGAGCGCGGCACTGCAGCTCTTACTTATTCTCAAACAAATTTCTTTCTGTTTTCCCGACGTTTCAATCTAATCTGTGAATGTTGACAGTTTCCTCACTTTGTATCAGAGTGTTGTTTTTGTTTGAGCGATGAATCGTGCTGCTATGCTCGTTTCTTTGGCTATGCCAAGTTGAGCTTGGAAAAACGACCAAGTTTGAAAATTGGTGAAATTTTTCTCGGTAAGTCTTGAACCGTTGTTTCATCAAAAACTCCCCATTTGCATCGTTTTTGCAACCTTAACTAAAAACAGAGCAAAGAAACGAGCATAGTAGTACGAAACATCGCTAAGCAACAATAAACTCTTTTTCTGATTACAGTCGTCATTGAAACAAAATAAAAAATTACAATGCAACGACGATAGAACATAAAAGAGTACTGCATTAGCTTGAAATGCATTTGACGGTGCCGCGCTCTGCCGCAGCCGGTGTGTTCTAGTTCAAATTCCAATTCGTCCACTAGGTGTCTAGTGGGGAGAGGACGACTATAGCAACCGATAGATAGGAAGAAAACAAGAGTAAACTTCACATGCGGACTGAAGGTGCCGCGATTCCCGCAACCGGCCTGCTCAAAATCAGTTCGGAGGGGGGGGGGGGAGTGTAGTAAAAAGGAAACGGTTTATGTCCAGTACGTGTTCCGTAGGCTTTCTGATGGTGTATAGAAAGAATGATGAAGGCTAGGCTTTCTGATGGTGAAAGCAGCCTCTAACACGTTGACGACGAGCCATTTTTTTGAGGTTTGTCCCTATGGACGAGACGTTTCCGTGCATTCCTATGCCTGGCCGCATGTATGTATGCATGCATCCATGCACGAAATATAGAATGTGCAAGCCCGCCTTCATGTGGTAAGCTCCGCCCACTCGGCCAAAAATGTTGGAAAGCGCCCAGATTTTAAGAATTCAGCGATTTTCGCAACTTTTGCAAAGTGGGCGGAGCTTGCCGCTTGGGAGGCAGAGTTTGCCTGACGGTGGGCGGGGCCGGCTAAAAGTTGCCTGAGGTCTTTGCGTCCATCTATACGGGCTCATCCATGCTTTCTATGAACGGAAAGGGTCCTTGTGAGAGGCATGGAAGTGGGCGGAGTTTGCCAAAAGGGGCGGGGCCAATGCATGAAGTATCACGTTGTCCCATAAGTTCCGTCCTTTTTGGTTTTCAATCGCAATAAATCATGAGCTTCTTGTTTCTAGATAGGTTGCAAGGTACCATTCAGTAGAGCAAATCAAGCTCTACAAGAAGACCATCTCGCTTTTGCACCAGCTCTGATCCATCTCGAGTTTTAAGGCGAAAACTGAGGAGATTTGACTGCGCGAAAAAGCGAGAAAAAATCATAACTCCATTTTAAAAAATCCTTCAAAAATTCTAACTTGCTCACTAAACGCTACCCATCTAAGACATTTACATATGAATCGACAAGATGGACGATAGATGGGTGGACGACAAAGCCGACGCCTCCCACGTTTCGTGATGGAACCTTTTCACCACGAATGATGAGGGTCCCATCACTCATCTGTCGCACGTCGTTCTTCCTGGACTTCGTTTCCTGCAGAGCGATGATGTGGTACTTGATATGCTCTGCGGCGTCGAGAAGAGCGTGGAGGTGGCGTTTGTGGAGACTGTCCTGCGTTGTAGGTGCAGAGCATGAGGCAGTCTCCATGGCGTGTCGTCCGGGCAGACGTGTCGTTTTTGTCCGATCCAGAAGGCGCCCTAAGGACCCTGACATCGTTCTTGCCATCACCCGGCGCCGTGGGCGGGATCCGATGTACAGGGTTTTTTCCATATCTTCTTGCTGTCTGAGTAATGAAATTTGTTCCCCTACAAGAGCAGACTTACTAGGCCAACTCTTGATTTCCATGCATATCTAGGCTTCCATTGCACTACCTACGTCTTCACTTTCTCCGTGTTTGAGCAGCATACGCAATTTGAATGCGCGATCAAACAATACAGACTAGAGTAGATCTGAGGCTTTGCTTTGTTAAGTGACTTGCCTTGGAAACTACGCCTAATACACTGAATAAGTGAGATAATTGACAAAATTTCTGTTTCCCTCAGAGAGGCATGGCCAGCTGGTGTAGAATTAGAAGAAAAAAATTGCATTTGGTTTGCCATTTTATGCTCGATATAAAGAAAATTTCTTGAACAGGACAGTGACTTTTTTGTATCTCATATAATCATATTTTTCAATTTTGGTAAAAAACTTACTTACAAATGGCCTAAGCTAAGCATATCAGTAGGTAAAGCTACTTCGTTCTTGCACACCCAACGTAACAGCCATGAGCAGCTAATGGCAGCGCAGACAGCGATTCGACCAACAGCCGCTATACCTCTACCGTCAGGTTATCTAAAGCCTTATCCGCCACGCTGTGTGAGACTGAAAGTCTCAAGCATGTGTTTCTCTTAGCAAACGCTATTGCTACGATGCTTTCCAGTGCATTCATGCACTGGCTGAGGGGAAGCAAAAGCAATCATTTCTTTTCCAAACAAAAAAATGCATCGTTTATAATAGGGTTTTATTCTTTCGTTGGTTTTGATTAACACAAGGAAACGATCCCAGCTTAAAGGCAGCGTCCCGGCAGAAAGATGGTGCCGGGGACGATGTTGAAGTAGGTCCCCTACCTAAGCGATGGCTGAAGCTCGGAGCGAAAAAAGAGGTCTAGCCTGAAATTTGCTCCGAAAGTGGCCCGGATCTTACGGTAGGCCCGAATGCCACCCACACTGCGATTTCGAACTGCAAGGCCAGAGCACGCATAGCGCACACAGTCATCAGCTCAGGGTCAACGACTCTGCGTTTCTACCTTGCATGCATCTCGTAGGGACCCGTCATACTTCGCCAAAAAAAAGCCCGAAAAAGCCCAAAAAAGCCCGAAAGCGCCAGAGCGCCGACTTCACGAGCGCGACTTTTGGCGCTAGAGGACTAGTTTTGAGAACATGTTGGATACTAGCGCTCTCCAGTGTGGATTTTCGGATTCAGCATAGCGAATGGGCCCTGGTAAGCACAAATCTCAAAATCGACTTTTTGCACGACATTGCCTTCAACACGTTGACGACCTTGTGCATACGCACGTATGCATGCTCTGACTCCCGTTTAGCATTTTCGTGCATCCTCGCATATGCACGCTAGCTTTTTAGGTGCAAACGAAAAGTTCCAAGATAACTTCTATGCAGTAATACTACTAGTGGCCTGATTGTCTTACAGAACACAGGGCATCGCGGCAGCTGTTCAGAAGTTTTGGCCGCAAAATTGGGTAATCAGTCCGTTTTTGATGTAGTTAATACATGCTAATTACATTTTTTCGAGAAGGTGAAAACTCTTATAGCTGTTTGAAACCAAACAAGGATGAATCAGGCAAAAAACACCTGGTATTACACGCTTTTCTCAAAGAGGGATTCCTCAGGCATAGCCATTGCATGGCTTATTGGTGGGAAAATTGATGCAAAAACCTTGATTTGTCTAAGTCCTGGGTAAGGCTCTATGATATATAGTCGTCCTCCCCCCATTAGACACCTAGTGGATGGATTCGAATTTGAACTAGAGCACGCCGATTGCGGCAGAGCGCGGCATTGTCAACTCCAATTCAACCTCATCCAATATTCTTTGGTGTTTCTTCGTCGTTGCATGGTGATTTTTTGTTTCAGTGATGTTTGTAATCAAAATCGACGAAATTGTTGCTGCTTAGCGATGTTTCGTGCTACTATGCTCGCTTCTTCGGTTTTTATTTCAGCTAAATTTGAAATCAGAATTCAAATAACGAGCATAGTAGCAGGAAACATCACTCAAGACTAACAAAGTCTACAATCCAGTTAAGAAGACTGCTAACATTCAAAAAATAGGATGAAACGTTCCGAAAACACAAAAACGTCTGTTTGAGATCAAAGTGAGGGCTGCAGGTACCGCGCTCTGCCGCATACGGCGTGCTCTACTTCAAATTCGAATTCGTCCACTAGGTGTCTAGTGAGGGGAGGACGACTATACCTGTATGTCTGAACAAAGTTCGCATGTTTTATGAATAGTGTCAAAAAGACTCCCATATAATGTTTTCGTGCATCCGCGCGTATGCATGAGCCAAATGCGCGAAGGACATTAGTGGGAGTTTCGCCCAAAATGGCGCGGTCGTGAACGTGTTAATCTGGGATTGTTCCCTCGTCAGTCTCAACTTCAGGTGAAAGGGTCCTCCAGATACCGGTTCAAAAGTGAAAGGGACAGAGCAGTCGCTCCACTTGTCGCACCTACGAATGAGGGTGGCTTGATTACAGAGATGCCGGCAGCATCCAAAATGACGCTCTGTCTGTGCGTGCGATGATCTGCCTATATACCTGTTCAGGTGATCAGAACAAATGTTTGATAAAGTTATTTCTACCCATCTTGATATATTACGCGCGAATGAGTTCTCTCAATAAGCAACATTTTCTCAAGTGATTGATTAGTAAGGAGTTTTATCGTTTTTTGGAAGTCCAGTATCGGATTGGTTTGAAACCTGTTGTAGTTTGAATCGTCCAATTTAAAAGAATAAAGTTGAAAGCTTTGCAGCCTGCCAGTCATGTATCGGAGGACGCACGTGAGGGAATTGAGAAAATGCATGCTATGATATCTGCGCCGAGCCCCATGGACTCCATTATTGACGAAGGCTTGGTCCGTGTTGAACTACCCGAGAAGAGCGAAAAGCTTTACAGTGAAGGCGAGGTGCTCAACAATGGAAAGTCTATTGTTCGTGTCATTGATAGAGAGAATGAGAGAGTTCTCTCTATCGCCAACCCTTTGGAAGCTCTGTTCTGTGAGTAAATTTTTTTATTCTTCTCTCAGAGGCCTCCCGAATACGAAATTGGTTGGATTTTGATGCCGTACAATAGCGTGGCCTCGGTGCAAAAGCCGTATTCCGAAGGAAGAAATTTATCCAGAAGGTAGATGCTGCGGGGTCGCCACGCTCGTCAACGTGGGTTGTTCAAAGTAATGAGCTCGAAGCTAAAGTATGGAGTACGTAGAAGTGTTGGATTTTTGAATTTCCAACAATGGGTGGATTTTCGACATTGCTAGGCATACTGAGTGCACGGGCTCGCCTTCAAGCCACTCAAGTTCATGAGAGTGGCGACCCTAGCAGCAGTCAACTTTGGAACAACTCTTTCGCTTCGGAATAAACGTTTTGCAGGAGATTTGGGCAGCTACTCAGTTAGGGGACTCGCTGTTGTTACTACAGTGCTGGCCAAAACTATACGTCCACTTGAAAACTGCCGTAACTCATCTGCTTCTCAACGAATTGATCTGAAATGTGGTACAGCTGTGTGTTTAACAGGCTACCATCAGCAACTAGAAAGGATCCCGTTTTTGTTTGATTATTCAGGAAAAAATCAGAAATTTCGAAAAAAGCAGGCTTGAAGGTTGGCCAAAACTATACTTCCAGTTAAGGTTTCTGTCCACTAAAGTAATTCTAGGCTTCCAAAGTTTTTTGTGCATATACATAATCAAAAGTCGAAACAGTCTTTAGTCCAGCTGTGTCATACCTTTATAAAAAACGTTTATCTGCTTTTTTCGCTCAGAAATACTTTCATGCGTATTTTGTCCCGAGATTGTGTTTTTATGGGTGATTTCGCAGTTTTTTGACTGGTTTGGAAACGATAGGGCTTCTTCTATTTTATAAATGCTTAGCGAAGTGAAAACTAGAAAAAAATTTGAGTTTGCATATTTTAAAGGGCACCCGACATGAACCTAACAGCAAGCCTGCGCTCACATTTTTGCTTTTAGACTCTTTCTGCAATGTTCTCATGAGCGTGGAGTAAAGCAATAACATTGTTGTACGTATGAGAGTCCGGATGCAGTGGTTGCAGATTTCCGCAGGTCTTAGCATACAGGCTAATTGAGGAATTCATCCTACAAAAACTGATTTGCAAAAAGCTTTGAACTTATTTTTGGTTCTGACCGTGATACTCATGTGAGTCACAAGGCATTATACAATACACGGTGTTTTCACTATCTAGCACTAAAGAGTGACAAAAAATCAGGAAAGGTTCCAATTGGTATGTATTTTGGGATTGCCTAAATATTACCACTGAACCGCGAAGATCTATGCTTTGAAAACGAAGCAAAATATACTTGGCGAACAATCGTAATCATAGTGTACAAACTTCTTTTCATGCAAACAATGCTTTACATCATTTTGAGCTTACAAAAATAGCATAAACCTATTTTGAAGGCAAAAATTGGAGTGCAGACTTGCTGTCGGGTCTATGTCGGGTGCCCTTTAAAATGCAAAAATTCAAATTTTTTTCTAGTTCTCACTTCGCTAAACATCTATAAGAAACATGGAGACCTAATGCTTCCAAAACAGTCAAAAAACTGCGAAATCACCCATAAAAACACATTCTCGGGAACAAAATACGCATGAAAGTATTTTTAAGCGAAAAAAAGCAGATAAACGTTTCTTATAAAGGTAGAACACAACTGGAGTAAAGCGATTGTTTTGACTTTTGGTAATGTATATGCACAAAAGGCTTTGGAAGCCGAGAATTACTTTTGTGGTCAGAAACCTTAAGTGGAAGTATAGTTTTGGCCAACCTTCAAGCCTGCTTTTTTCGAAATTTCTGATTTTTTCCTGAATAATCAAACAAAAACGGGATCCGTTTTAGGTACTGATGGTAACCTGTCAAACACACACCTGTACCAAATTTTAGATTAATTCGTTGAGAAGCAGATGAGTTACGGCAGTTTTCAGGGTGGATGTATAGTTTCGGCCAGCACTGTATATGCTTGTATGTTTTCAGTGAATTTTATGAATGAGTACATGCAGTTCATAGAATATATGAGAACCGATAATTTTATCGCATCTCTGGAGAAAGACATTGCTTTTGAGAAGGTAAGCCTGTGGGATTCCTTGAATGTTAAACAGTCAAGCTCTTGGTGTTTAGGCTCGTAATGCGGAACTACAAGAAAGAGTTCGCCAAGCGAATGCGGCAGTGGCCGCTCAGAGGTCTCAGGGTGTTAATGCTCTATATGAAAGATTGAATGATCTGGGGATGAGTGATGTGGAAACACCCACGGAATTGCTACAAGGGTAGGCTACTTCCGGTCTTCTTGTTTTCCTGCTTTTATTTCAGACTTGTTTTGTGATTAGTTTCAATCATTGTAGATCTAAACAGATTGTTGCGCATCATAAGGATTTAAATCAGCGCGTTTCTTGCTACGAAACAGAAGTGAGTTGTTGATCTTCAATTTAGTCTCTTCGTCACTCCTGCATTCAGGTTGCGATGCTCGAGGGTAAGATACGTGCGGTGCGTCCCTTTGGTGACAAACTTATTGAGGCTCTACACTGTAGGTCTTATTTTACCTTCTATTTGTACATCTTTTTACCAGCATCTGTAAAATTTTAGCTGTGGGAGATAATCCTGTCAATATCGAGGAGCTTCTCCAAAACGTGCTTCAACAGACCGGGAACGAAGCTTCCTCCCTGCGATTAGAATCTGAAAATGAATCGGGAGAAGGTTTGCTCATGTCGCCTGGTGGCGGTCAGTCCAACGCCAGCGTAAGCCACACAAGCACTGCGACTCGAAGACCTCGTCAGCGTCCTCGTGCCGGACCAAATGCGAGGGGGAAAGGTAAACCTGAAGAAAACTCGGAAGAAATGCAGAGGCAGATTAATGAAATTGTGCAGGCGGTGGGTCATCTCATGTTATCTTTTTGTCAATTTATGTCATGTTTTTGAGCGTCCTTATATCTGTTTGGTAGCAGTTCTTTATAGTGCTTTCATCTTTTCTAGCATTATTTTCGACCAAGTGTTTGTGTTCAAGAAGTTTACTTCCCAATGAGTGATGGTGACCTAGAGCTCCATGTATGAACATCCGGCCGTGGAGTGGAATAGTTTAAAAGAACTTCTCATCCTTATCTTGAGGTCTTTATTTTACCCTACCCTATCCATTTTGAAGTTCACTGACCTGACCCGCATTTTCCATCGAATTGCATAATTTGCCGGAAAACCTCAGCTGCTGACCATTTCTTCTTTAGCTTTTACACTGTTGTTAACTGATCGTAATTCAAATATTAGGTTGATTTATAAGTAATGCACGTTTTTCGAAATTCATCTTCAGAGCGCCGTAATTCTTTTCCCACATCATCTTTCAAAGAGCAATAAGAACTGTTACAAAGAGCAAATCTTTGGCTTTACAACACATACTTTTGTTCATAGATAAATGTGACGAGAAAGTTTGTACAATCCGAAAAATGCCAAAAATTATTTTTTAAAAAACTCTATTTTAAGAAAGCATAACTTACTCTAAAAGGTAGGAGGAAAGCGCAAACTTTGCTCATTGCGCAGCTAATGTTTAAGAGGAGTGGCAAAAAAACTCGGATTTTACGGTATTTTTCTACGACGAGATACTGCAGAAAGTTCAAAAGCGATAATTTTTTTCTAGCTTTTTCAGAAGAGCGAAAAATTGCCTTTTTGAGAGTTCTCAAAATTTTGACAAAATTCTGACGGATGACAGCATGAAATCCAGATTTTCTAAGCTTAATCATATAAAATTTCTTTTGACCTGTGCCCCCTCCCCGACGATGACGTTTACGCTTGCGGCCCTCAATCATACGCAACTCGTCTTTTTTGTTATCATTATATTCGTTTTTCAGTCGATGAATTTCAGGCTTTAAAAGTGGATAACGCTGCAAAGGAAAAGGAGCGACGTTGTCGAGGAAGTGAGAGGCCGGCTCGCAGGTCTGGTGCCAGTAGCAATAGCACTGATGGGGTTGCTCCTCTACAGCGTTCTGCTCCATTCTCCATAACTTCACGACGTGAAGACATCGAGATAGACAATGTATATAGTACGGTGACCCATACTTCTCAAACTGGGCTCGGTACCACTGCTCCTTCTGTTGGAAATACATAGCCATGTTTCTTTCATCCAGTTCTATGTCTTGCACATCTTCATATGAAAGACTCGCTTTTTTCTTTATGATGAAGTATGCGCAATTTCATTGTGCAAAACTTTGCATTAGCAAGCATGTCTCTGCAGTGCAATCCAGAGAATTCTTTTCAATTTGGTCCTTTCTGATGTTGCCATGATGTACCTCTGAACTGCCTAAGTACTGATCAATCTCGAGCCTCTTCATATTCTCGATTACCTTTTTGTGTGGAGCAATATGTGCTGAAGCGCGTCAGAATGATAGTAACACCTCCATGTATCGCACTTCATCTGAATCTTTCATAAAAGCGTCGTTCTAAGAACAGACGGGTAAATTAAATGTCACAGTGTTTATTTGCATGCGTTTCTTCTCTATGACTTTCAGAGTTGCTTTACAAACTGCATTTCCCTACTTCCGTTCATTTCTGTAGTGATACAGTCTTTTTGTCGTTCACTTCCGTGCCCAATCAAGAGTAGTCAGTAAAGATGGGAATAGGTCTAAACGTCTTCTCTGTTTTCGGTATTTGCCAGCATATTTTTTGATGTCAGTTAAATCTTTGTACACTTTGTGCTTTGAAGAAGTCTAATGACCATATGGATATCTGTAAAAACGAAGTGACGTCCCCCTTCAAGATTCCTCACAGAGACAAAGACAAAAACAAGACAACCTCCGTTGTATCCACAAGGTGAGGTATCTTATTGTTAAAGGCAGTGTCCGGGCAAGATGGGGTTTTGAGATTTCTTTGCCATGTGAGACTGGCCCCCCTGAGACACAACATCGCCCAACTGCGAGCATAAAACGTTCGACCTAAAGCAAGAAAAACAATTGCAAAGTGGGGAAACTTACGCCTCGGGGCGGGGTCCTCCGAGCTGTTTGAATTCCTGCCAGACGGCAGAGTACGTATGCCGCCACAGTTAAAAACCGTGCGCTCTTTGCAACTCTGCGTCTTAGCCTGGCGGGGATCCCCAAATTTCGAAATGTGAGGACTTGGAAAATGCATGTTCTCGCCGTTTTCGCGCTTTCTGATATGGATTTTCGGATTCAGCGTTGCGGATAACCCCAGATAAGTTGATTTTTTAAAAGTCGAGTTTCTGCCCGGACACTGCCTTTAAATGCTAGTCTGATTAATATCTTCCTAAATCTATCAGGTCCCCTTTGGCTGATCCTCATGATCAACGGGAGTTTTCGCAGCGTGATATTCAAACCATCAAAGCGAGACAGAAGAAACGGTATTATCTGTTTTGTTACGCTTATTATCACACCGTGTCAGTTTCAGAATTGCTGCTGAGCAAGCACAAGCACGCGATGCTAAGAAAGTACGGAAATCAGCGGACGCCGTCCAGGTTTGTCGCAGTGTGTTGTTTCTTATTTGTCAGTGTATCAACAATCAAACAGATACATCGCAAGTCTACAGTCTATTAAATTTTCCTTACGAAGGGACAAGAAGGGCGATCACCATAGACCGCATACCATTGGTGAGAGCTTGGAATGCTGATTCCAGATCCACTCTTTTTACCTGCAGAGCGCTTCTGGTAGAGTGGTTTTTGGAGTTGAGATATGAACTGATGGTCGAGATAAAATCGATTGCTACAGCTTCTTTAGAGCTTGAACGAAGCAGCGGCAATTGTCAGGATATTTCATAGGAAAAACTGCTTCTGCCTACTATATCAGCACTTTCTGTTTCTCCATTTGATGTCTAAAAAGGCTGTAACGATTGATATTATCGCGGCCATTAGCTCGTTTTTGCAGACAGAGGAAGCAGATTTGCAGTCAGCGTTTCAAGTTCTCACTAACGGTGTGCAGCTTGCAGTGATCGGGCACTTCGACTTCGTGACCCTCTCTTATGAGTATATTTACGGTGTTGGAATTGGGCGACTACATTTGCGCATTAACAAATAGCAACGCCAGTAGTGCCGGCGTTTTGAACCCGCAAGTGGTCGGGATTACAGGCTAGCTATCTGTTTACGCGCAAGGTCGTCAATCTCGGTACCACAAGAACATTTTGAGCGGAAATTCACTGGACTGTTTATGTCACATAGAAAAATATGAGCAGCCAGTATATCGTTCAGGATCCGCTAGCCGTTGTGGATAGGATATGTGGTGAAATGGCTGCTTCGCAAGTGAAGCGCGATCAAAGGAGGGAGTCTGAAGAACGTACTCGTCATGCAGATGCGGATCATGCCTTGTCTAGAGAAGCCTTGGAAAAACATGCACAAGATGACACCATGGCCAGAGAGGTACATTTGAGATCTCTTGACGTTTTCTGTCTTGCAAGTTTGCTCTAATCCTTTTTTTGAATCTGAGAAATGGAGTATTAGAAATACAACTCAAATATAGAAGAATGAACACTTTAATTGACCACCTCCGCAGATTATTGATCTTCCCAAAATTGCAGTAGCATGAGCGAACGGATCACATTGATGTTTTGGCCTACCACTGCTTACGTACAGTAAGCACAATATTAGGGGAGACGGTCAAGAGGCGCGATTTTTCTGGCTGTCACCAACTTAAAGCTCCAGTTTAGGGCTATGGGAGGGTTCAAAAAGTGCCGGACGAACTCCATAGCTTACTAGCTGTTTGTGATAACCAACTGATAAGTTTGACGACTTCTGCTAGAAAACTGACCAGATTATTTACAAATTTGCTATCAAGTGTAATTTCAATGGTTTTTGACCTTCAACAATTTTGTCTGGAATCGATTTCAGGATGATGAGATGGAGCACCCTGTGCAATTATCAAAATTATATCTTTTGAGATTTCAAGTAATTCTAGAACTGCGTAAAACACTAAATATGTACTATAAGCTGCCCATCTGGCAATAAGAATCGCGCCTCTTGACATACACCCCAATATTAGAGTAAACATAAGAAACCATTTTCGTAATCATCATGTTAAATAACTCTTGTGAGCCAGGTTTTAGCTAATTCTGAGGTCTCCAAATATTGGGCCACCCAAGTGAGATGGTCATTCTCGAAATCTTAACTTTGTTTCAAAGGTGAGATAATTACTTGTTCAGTGTATTTAACACAAAATTAGTACTCCTTTGCTCACATCAAGAATCCCACTTCGAGTAGCGTCCAAACTGTGGAATTGAGAGCAAGCCAGAATATCGTTTGTCCCGTTTTTCGCTTTCATTATCTCAGACTAGAGGAGACCAATCAGGCTCAAATCACTTTTCGAAAATTACGAAATTTGGGCTATCGAACATATTTATTCTCGCCGCCTTTTCTCGCGATTTATGTAGTAGCGCAGGCTTAGCATGTTATAATAACTCAGTGATTTCGCAGTATTTTCTACTTGCATAGGGAAGGAAAAACGACTATATCTTTCCCTGGGAGAAACGACTTCGGATGAAATTCCTGCTATGTAGAGAAGAAGGTTTAGCCGTGCCACACTTCATTAACTTACCTCCAAAGAAATTTTAGTGAACAAATTTCGTACAGTCCGATAGCCAAAGTCTCTTGGTTCCTGTAGAAGCGACTAGAGCTAGATTCGTCTTCTTTCATTTGTGCAATAGTTGCTGGAAGCACAACCACTGTAAGCCAAAAATGGGACAAAATGGGATTTTGGCTGGCTCCTAATTCCATAGTTTGACGGTTATTTGAAGCAGAAGTTATGGCGCAGGCAAATAGGGAGTAGTGCTTTGTAGAGTACAAAAATACGTAGCTAGTTTACCTTTGTGTAAAAGTTAACTATGTTTGAAAAAAACCACTTCGCTTGGGTGGCCCAATATTGGGAACCTTCAGAATTCGCTACTTGGCTCACGGAGGTTGTTTGACATGTTAATCACGAATATTCTAGTAATTATGCTTGATAGAGCCTTTATATCTTGTCTACTGTAGGCAAACGATGCGGGGGGGGGGGTAGGGGGTGTCGTGATAAACACACGACCTATGCTCAAATTTCAACTCTTTATTCCAACTCTTTGTGATCCTAATGTTTACATTGTAAACTTGCCACAAAGAGTCCGCCATATGGCTGTCAGGGCCAGCTTCCTGCTGATTAAGATTGGACTCACTCTCACCTTTTGTCGTGTGCCGGAGATACCGGCTAATTGTTGCTGAATAAGTTCATATAATCCTCCAAAGTGTTAACAGTGGCATAAAAAGGGGATTTCAAACCCACTGAACCACCACAATTCTGGTGCATGGGGGGGGGGGGAGGGGTCGTCGCCGGCGGTTGTGTGCCACGTCTCTTGGTCGACCCTGGTGATCGGGCAATACAATTAGCAAACTCACTTATTCGGGTTATCCGCGACGCTGAAAATTACTTTAGAAAGTGCGTAAACTACGAGAACATGCGTTTCTCAAAGCCTTACACTTACAACTTGGACGGGGTTTGCCCATGCTTAGACGCAGAGTCGCTGCAGGACACTACGACTACTTTAACTGTACTCAGACGCTCGCACCGGCTGGCGGCTGTTCGACGGCCGGTGGTCCTTCGCCGACTTTTCGGCCGGAACGGTCGCCAGCCGGCCGCCAGCCGGTACCCGTACGGCGGTCGGCCGGTATGCGTCTTTGACGTAACGAAATGGCACTGGGCCAAGCATTTTTTTCTCTAAATAGCTTTCATTTATCGCTATAATTTTGACATGGGGTAGTACGAATCCACAGCAACTATCTATTAGCCAAAAGATACGTCACTACACATATGCATGTAGAATACATCCAAAGCTTCTGACTTTTCATCATACAGAAAGATCATTCAACGCAAGTGGTTTACATATTGTTGGACAACCATTCCGAATTGGCTGGATGGTCACAGAATTTTTGTTCTTTTGAATGTCACACGCAACCATCGATAAGATGCATTCGATAGCCTGTAAATGAGGTAAACTATTGACAATTTTAAATGATACCAGAACTTACAGCTATGCATAGAGTTCCCAATAAACGTCTCTGTTGGCAGAACAGTATCAAAAACATGCGTTCAGAGCAGACAGTTAGAACAGATGATCATATCGCTTAGAAAACACTGCAAGGCTAGTTTCAATCAAATGATAATTACGAAGAACTTAATTCTTTTGGAGTGCGACGAGCAGCCATAAGTATCAGATTAGCTATGAGCATAGCAGGAAAACCAACGATCCCATAAATTAGTATTCTCAGCAAAGCAGGAATAGTCCAGAAATCGAAGTACGGAGAATATATGAGGGAGCGTTCATTAGAGGCCATATTCTTTTCCAAGAATATAGCAATGTTACTGACAGCATTCAACCATTCACTGCAGTTCCATCACAGAAGCAAGAATCCAAACATAATGCATATTGCAGTTGTCTCCTGAAAAGCGAACATTCAGTTTGTATTTCTTTAGTTTGACCCAAAAAGGTGATGGACACACGGAATACGTCGCAGCAAGTAGCATTTGAATTCACTGACGTTCTGGTTCTTCGCCATTTAAGTCAAAAAGCAGAAAAATAGGAAGGAGATACGCCATGGAATTCGTTCAAACCTGAAAAAGAGTGGAAGTATAATAAAATGGGCTACATCAACTAGTAAATTCCGATCCTAAAGTTCGTTCCAAGTGACCCTAAAGCATAGTATCTTTCCAGGGGCAGACATATAGGCTGCTACAGACGGAAGGCGCAATATCTCTGGGAGCGAACGCGGCTTTATTAGCCGCAGAGCGCAGGATGCGCCGGATTTACAACGGTGAAGATACGCGCGCATCACGTTCGCGCCCGCTCAACGATACTGCTTCTGCGCCTTCGTCATGCAGTAGCCTTTACATAGAACGTGATGCAACGGAAGTGAAACAGCAACAGTAACAAAAGAGATTCAAAGAGAAGCCTTCTGTTTACCTGTTCAAAGGCACATGCACCCGATGTCTGAACTTATTCTCTTACTGTACGCGCAATCTTGTGCTTCCCGAGCTGCTTTTGCACAGTGGAACGGCCGCCGGCCGGCATGATTTACCCGCGCGGTCGCCGGCCGGCATTTGGCTCCACTCAAAATGATGAAACGGCCGCCGGCGGTGCGATTGTCTGAGTAGAGGCATGCGTACTTTGCCGCAGATCGGTAAATCCGCAGGTGAAGAAGCCCGCTCCCAAGGCCTACGTTTCCCGTCTTTTTGACCGTATTCTTGCTTGTCGAACGTTATGGCCTCGCATTTGCACGAAGCCGTGTCCGAGGGGATCCACTTCCGCATGGCACCGAAATCTCTATACTTCCTACCTTATCAGGACTATAGTTGTAACGAGCAAAAATTTTCGCCGAATGAACGAATATTGAATAATCAGTTTTTAAAATTTTTTCGAACGAATGAATGTCGAATAATTGATTTTCGAAAATTTTTCGAATGAACGAATATTATTCGACTTTCGATTTTCATTTTATTCGAATTTGAATATTCGAATATTGGCATATTCCAAAATTCGAATGAACGAATACTTGAATAACCGAAGTTGATCGAATATTCGACTAATTTCGAATAAATGTTCGAATATTATTCGAATATTTGAATGCAATATTCGAATATTCGAATATTCGAATAACTATCTTTTAAAAATACTCGCATGAATGAATATTAGAATAACCTTTATTTAAAACTCGTCGAATGAGCGAATTATTCGAATATAGGCCTTTCTCATTTATTCGACTATTCGAATAATCGAATAAATGGACTTTCTCAAATATTCGACTATTCGAATATTCGAATAGTCGAATATTTCGAATAAATTATTCGAACACGAATATTCGGTGCTAACTATAATCAGGACACTACCTTTGATGGCGGTATTCGTTCCTCTACCCCCACTGAAGTGTGTACAGATCTGGTGAAGCGTGCATCATAGGAGAAACTCTTCCCGTGCAGTTTTTCCTGCTCTTGCTTTGATTCTGCTGTAGATGCAGTATTTCAGGAGAATTGATATTTTTCCGTTATTTATCCGGATCTTTTCTTAGCGAATTTCATGAACTACATACTTCAGTCCAGAATCTTTTTCTTCATAGAATCATTAAGACCTGTCTACCTGCCTCGTGTCGTGCAAAAATTAACACGCCCTGATTTTGGATTCATTTTCGGCATGGTATGAGCGCGTTGAATTACCACCCAAACGCTATCCTGCTGCTTCACATAAGACATAGCACTGCAGACGATGATTAGGACATCCTGAAGCTTTAAGTAGTGGTTTATAATATTCTCCTTTTTGAACTATTCTCTTCGTGAGTGTTCAGCCGCAACAGAATTCAAATGGTGATGTGAGTATCTCACTCCCGATCCACTTAGATGATGAAAT